AGCAATGCTCTTGGCAGGTGTCCTTGGTCGGATAAATCTCCACAGTGTGCACCGGAGTCCAACCTCGATTGCCTCAAACTCAACTTCCATGCTATCCTTGTATTTCCCGCCAGTGCCATGCGGTCCAGACCTGTGCCCATTGACACCGTACCCTGTCAACATTGACATCCGCTCCCCTGACCCGCACCCCGATTCAAACAGCCGAGCTAAAACAGCACCAATCCAGGGGTTGGCTACCGGCCAGGCGAAAAGCCAGAGCTCCCCCTAGCCAGCAGCCGGTTTCTCGGCCGCGAGACGCAAAGCCAGCGAAAAGCCACCGCGCAATCTGGCAGCTCCCCATGCTGACCTTCCCCCGACCAGAAAATTTTTAAGTGGTCCTCCTCGGGCGAAAGGTCTGCCAGCCAGCGAGACGGGAGGCGCGAGATCGCCAGACCACCGAGAGGTCTGGGCTTCGCCCCCCCGAAACCGTATCCAGCATGATCAGCTCCCCTACCCTTGGAGGCGTGCTTTTTTTGCTCTCCCAGGCGGAGATGCAGATGGAGACTGAATCTCGCTCCGTAGGATTTGATGGTATGTGTCCACTTGAACAGGTATCAGCGGCTTGCATGTGCTCAGGCTTGGCGTAATGGTTGATCCGTCTCTATCGCGTGCGTTTTTGCTTTGCTTGGATTTTGCGCTTGATGGGACAACGCTCGGCAAAATGAAGCCTGTGTTCTTTTTTCCCGACCACGAGCTAGCTGACTATGTCGTGCCAATTGATCCAATTTGCCCGCCTCACTGACGTCTATCACACAGCCACAACCTGGGCTCATTAGGTCATTATCCAAAAGACTTGATGCAGCCCGACACCAGACTTAACAACTTCCGGCGTATCAACTGAAATTCCAAGGCTACTTCAGAGTTATCGAAAGTGCCATAACAAGCGCGTGTTGGTGTCTACCAGCTAAAGAAGGTTGACCAAAAGAGCGGCGGTCAAATGACAAGCTAAACCAAAGTGCCTGGAAGTGCTTTCCTTTATTATCAGATGTAGGCGCAAGTTTGGGTTTCAGAACATCGACCAGCCCTGGCATACATAGTTTAATCCCACCAGACTAGCAAAAACAATCAGGTTGTCTGCCAAAGTGGTGAGGTCGGTACAGCTACACTAAGCAGCCTTGGAGATGCTTTATGTGCTGATAGCCAGCGCATTTGTACAGCTGAATGACGCACTACTTTATTTCACACCGACGACAATAAAGGAAGCCAAGTGGCTGCCTACGGCGCACGTCCTTGTAAATCGCACATTAAGGGTGTGGCTTTCTATAATCCTTACGCTCACCATATCTGAGCTTCAACACACATCGTCAAGCGTACAAGTATTTAGAGTGGGATGTGAAGAGCTCGTAGTGTCACTGGTCACGACGGCGCCAGCTAAGGCCCATGTAAATCGGTTTGGAAACTGTCGTCCATGCAGCATGGTGAACTTTGAATTTGTATCATCGAGTCATATTGAGCCCCTCCACTGTTCCATGAACACGATTGAGGGGTCAACCGATGTGCGTCATGGTTGTCTACAAACATGTAGACATGTCGCTGAAGTATGCAAAGAGTAGTCTCCCGCTCTTCCGTGTCTACACAGGCATCACTTCACTGCACATAGTTCTTGAGTCATTGGGTCAACCGATTCCGATTCCTTGCTACACCGAGCATACCGGCCTTAGTCCGGGCCGTGATATCTACCCATGGAAACCCGGGCCAAGCCCTCCCTAACGACGCAAAACCAAAGTCATGTCCATCGCAGTAAGGTGAATCGTTTAATCGGTACCGCCAACAGCACGGGCTGAACTTGTTAGCCGCTATTCCTCGAATGACTGCGTGGCGAGCAAACGTACTGTAGATCTGCATCTTGCTGTGCTGCACCACCGGGCGGATGAGGCCCTTCTCCTCGAGGTCCTTGATGCACCTCCTCGCGAGCGAACCGTTGATCTTCATGCGGTCGACGAGAGTGGCGACGGTGACGAGGCGGAAGGACTGGACATCCTTGTAGAGCTTCTCAGAAGTCTGCTTGTCGAGGATGACGGCGTGCTGGGCCTTGTCCTTGACCTTGCCCTTGGACCTGGAGGTATTGTGTTAGAGGAGGAGGATTTCTCGTGGGAATTTCGTCTGGCGCTTCATCAAGTCGGCGTCGCAGATGCGGCGGTTACGTACCACTGCAAACATGTTAGCGACAATGGCACGAGTAAATGACGATGTGGTAGTCAGGCGCAACAAACCTTCTTCTTCTGCTTCTTAGCTCCAGCTGCGGGCGCCATGTTTGCTGATGTTGTCGTCGGTCGGTGGTTGATGGACGGAACGCTGACGCTGGGGTGGAAGAAGTTCGTTTCGTTCAACGATGCGTGGTTTGACTGATGCCCGTTGGGGGGCTCCTGCCTTTCGCTGGCACTCACAAGCCCTGGATCTGCCCCGCTTCTGGGGCTCTGAGGCCAATGGCA